GTACCGGATTGCGCTGGACCCACGATCGAAGATATTATGGCCCTGAAAATGATTCGGAACCTTCTCATATCAGAGTCGATTCGTTTTCTCTTCCTCCTGATGTGGCAGCTATGGAACAGAACATGAAGGTTAGTCCGTTTCTATATTATCGCCGCTTTTTCACGGTTCCTTCTTTTACGGCCGCATTTTTCGCCACCCAATAATGAATTTTACTATGAATTTTTGTTTTCTATCTTTACTTTTTGAAGCGCTGGCTATCTCTATAAATGTGTAACCTCAACAGTTTTTAACTTTTCAATTCTATTAGCGTTGCCACCATCATGTCAAAATGTTACATTTTATAGGTTTTGAACGTTCGCCATCATAAGAAACGTGATCAAGCGCATTCTGTTGTGGGAACTGGTAACTATATGGCACCGGAAGTCATTTTAAAGATTGGTGAGTCGATTAATGTTTGTTGTCGGAGGTTTTGCTATGAACGTCCAGTTGTATGATCAATTTTAGGTCACACGCAACTTTGTGACTGGTGGTCAGTTGGTGTCATACTGTATGAAATGGTTTTCGGTAGGCCTCCATTCATGTCCGTTGCTGATGATCCGAAAGAGACTCAGTACAAGGTTGGTTGCGCATTCTGACCGTTTTTTTTTTTGAAAAATTGATAATTTCATATTTTGAGATTATCAATTGGCCACGATATCTTGATGTTTCTCCGCGAGCCGGAGGTGCTCACCTGTCGCGTGACTGCATCTCACTTATACAGCGTCTGTGCTGTGACAAAAATAACAGAATCGGGTCGATTGGAGCGCGAGAAGTGATGGATCATCCTTGGTTTAGAGTGAGTGGCTATTTAGATTTCGTGTTTATTTTATTTTTTCCTATTTTTTGTTTCTTCCACGACCTAATTGGGCAATCCTTTAGGGCATCGATTTCAAAAATCTACGATCTACACGTGCTGAATATATACCGAGGGTTGAGCATGCTGAAGATACGTCCAACTTCGAGGCTGTTGAGGTTTGCTAGAGTTGTCATTTGGTTTTTCATTTTACCATTTTATTATATACCCAGGTAACCGAGTCACCGTTCGAAACCTTGGGCAAACGAGCTCCAAATAACCCGGCTTTCTACGAGTTCACTTTCCGTCACTTTTTTGACACCGATGGTCAGGGTTGTCCAAGTCTTCGACCGCCACAAAAACGTCCACCGCTTGCGCCATTGTTTGAAAGTACTGGGGCAAGGCATGAGACAGTGAGCAGCTCGGAGTCGATCGTGATTTGACATTCGAAGTCGAAAAGTCCGCAAAGTAAAA